ACATATATGTATCGGTATCTTAAATCAAATTCTGTCTTGTCATTTTTCATGGTACTACTGATTTTCCTGTATCATTTACGCATTTCCTGCATTTATATTATCACAAAATATCCGCATAAAATGCTTTGGTCAGATTTTTGCCTGTAATATTATCATTTCTGGTATTGCAGTAACTTCTCCGCTTGTCATAAATCATTTTTCAAATATTTTCACAAGCAGCTAAGATTAACAACGACTTTCTGCAGCATGCACAAATACAGAGAGCATTGGTAAAAATGAAGATGAGAAGTGCAAGGTCGGGCATCTAGTAATTTAATTTAGAGATCATAGTGGAACTTCTCATTTCATTGCCGGCCCGTCCCCCCACCCCTCCTCCCCCTCTCCACCCCATTGCTTGTTTCTTATGCTAAAAAAAACAGGTTAATGCAGTAACGAAGAATAAAATTACATGTATCGCATGATTTTACAGCCTCTAAGTGTCATCAAGGAAGAAAAGTCTGGTTCTGAAAAGTCTAGTTAAGATGTATGTTGTTTCTGGTACCGCGAGAGGCAAAAGCTTCGCCTTTGCAATTTAAAATTGGGAAGTTCTTACGATTAGGTTGTGGTATTCACGATTTCATGCGACTAATCGAGTCAACAGAAAACATGAGTTTTTTTCAGGTGTGAGAATATTAATTAGCACTATGATAGTGTGTCATCGTCGCCGTACTAGCTGGAGGCATAGTCTCAGCGAACATAAGTAAAATCGGCTCTGTACTTTTCGTTGTTCACTTGGACACATTGAGGGGAGGTGGAGGAAGACAGGACCGAAGAGGGGAGTCAATACTGGGTAACAAAATTAACTTCGGGGTTCAAAATTTAAGGAAGAGAATTGATTGAAAAAAAAAAAACGAATACACAGTTTACGCAGAAAAATGAATACACCAGATACCCAGGAAAATGAATATACAATTTACCTAAAATACCCAAAAAACAAATGCGCAATTTGCCCAAGTGCCCGAAAAAGAGTACACAATTTCTCCAAATATCAAAAAAAAAAAAAAAATGAAGAATGAATAACACAATTTACCCAAATATTCAAGAAATGAATGCACAATTTACCCAAATACCCGAAAAAATAAATGCTATCCAAGTAGTGGAAAAAAAAATACCTAAGTGAATGCCGAAAATACCCAATTTGTCCAAAGGCACCTGAAAATAGCTCAGTTTTGACCATTTTACTGGTATATTTTCCTGAGAAGCTCCTATGTCC